GACCATAGGAGAAAGCTCTATGTAGTAGTCCTTAAACCAGGGGGGGGGGTTCAGGGGGTGATCGTCCAAATCCCAAAAATTTCGGAAAAGTTTGTCTTATTGTCAATTGAACATGCAAATGGAGTTTCGCGGAACTTCCCTGGAACTTATTCTTCCACTCGTTGCAATGACTTACAAGGGGGTCTTTCAGGACATGGAGCGTTTTTTTTTTCAAAATGGTTTCTGAATGTTGTAGAGGCTCATGTGAGGAACACAGAACCATGGTCCATTTTTCCTGAACGCCCCCAGGAATGTCAAAACAGCGGGGAAGAAATGGTCCAAAGTTCGATCCTCCGTGATGACAAATTTTTGCAATTTATGTTGGCGCCTCCAAATTGCCGCAAAACACGACACTGACATCTATTCTCGACGATGGCGCCATTTCGTGACAATTTGCTGTCACCTTTGCTACCAGACTTCACAAAAATGGTTTATAGCTTTCCATCACAAGATGGTTGATCTATGATATATTTAGAAATTCAACAAAATAACACATTTGAAAACAATAACAAGAACAATACTGTTAACAACATGACAACAAAAGCCACACTGAAAAACCGGCAAACCCCTGCAGTTGTTGAAATAAGCCAATAACCAGCAACCCTATCACTGAGATTCTCGTTTCTTTCGTTTCTGTCGCCATTTCTTCTCCATGGTATTTTTTATCGATTCCACGTTCTCTGCTGCTATAGCTTTGTCAACCATATTTTCCATGACATATAGCACCTATAGTTCGATCGAGATCCGTAGTGTTATTCTCTTACTAGACCAATTCCTAACTAGAGAAAACACTCACCACACGAGCAGTTATTCGAACACTTGCTAGTGCAACCAAATATGAATTTCTTGTAGCAGCTCCTTTGCCGTTTCGACAAGTTCTTTCGTTCATTTTCGATAAGAATCGAATAGATCTGTCCCAAGTAGCACTGCTCCCACACACTTAGGTCACGATTCTAGAATTCACAAATTTCAGTAATAGTCACAGAAGCAATACTCACATGAGCAAAAATAAGTGCCCAAGACCAAAGTGTATCGTCGCAGCGGCAAGCATTGCAAATTACCTGAGCGTCACAGCAAAATCCTGAAGAAAACGCGTAAAACCTAGGGCAACCACGGATCTGAAAATAACTTGGGAACTTTAACAGCACTCCTCCTCCCTCCCACTGCCTAGAGTCGTTTCATGTACTCTAGTATCAATCTTTTTATAGAATCTCTGGTGTGAAATCCCCAACATCCATTTCATCTTACATTCCTCGAAGTCGTCAAGCCAGAGTGGCATTTGAGTGATGCCAGAATGGTGGGGTCGCTAAAATATTCCGTATGATATTTTTAGCCAAAACCATCTCAAGAAGCACTGTCTTGTTAGGATAATCCCCACACCTTCCTTATATCATCAATAGCAATTTCACCAAATAAAGTAAACAAATCCACTATCGCCTAAAAGCTAAGAACCCACATTCCAAGATCATCAGTTATACTGCGTTGGGGCCCCCGAACTTCGCCGTTGAAAACTTATCCCACAAAAGGGGTTGCCTCAGCCTCCATTTCGATCACAGCCATTGGGAATATTCTGCCTCGCCCAAAAATCCTCATCGCTTGTTCGCATGCTGCAACTCACGAGCGATAAACTGCCAAGGAAAAATGAGTGACTCAAGTCAGTGGTTCGACTGTCGGCAGCGCAATCACTGAAATTACTCTGGACGCACTCACAACAAATCCTGAGACTACGCTGTACTAGGCCGCCATTGTGTTGGAAAATAACTCGGTGTTCGCTCCTATAGATATGACTTTGGTCAATCCTATTAAAGCTTAGCTCGGACAGTTCCCAACTCCATTTCATTTTTCATTTCCTAGAGTACGTCAAGCAGGAGTGAATTTTCAATGAATGAGACGGGTCGGCTCCGCGGCCACATGTCGTTGAATTTTTCAATATCTCAGAAACACTTAAGTTTTTGCCTAAACATGGTGTGAATTTCATCAATTACGAACCACTTATATAGAGACCCCCCCCCTTCCACAGTCACCAGTTATCCGTTAGGTGACTCCGCTCGTTGAGACTACCCAAGGGATAGCCTTAACTCCATTCTCAGATCACACCTTGAGATTCTCTACACAAAAATTCCATCGCAGTGCACCGCAGATCCTATGCGAATACATACAAGCTGGATTGGATTGGATAATGTAAAACGCTACAACATCAAAGCGCTCATGAAGAAATACCACTGACTTGCCCCGATGACTACCCGTATTGCAGATTTCATCTATAGAACAAGTCGTGTGCAACGGATGGCATTTGCACTGCTGCTTTCAGAATACTAAGAATCAGACGACGAGATACCATATCAATCATACAAGTTGGGAATAACGCCAGTAACAGTTTAATACCAGAACTAAAAATAGAACGCAATTCACATCACCAGACCGGTTAGTACAATTTGTTACACAGCTTGTATTGGGGTCTCGATGGAAACCCGATAGAGAGAACCGTTCTTGGAATCCCCACAACAACAGGTTCCTTTTTGTTGTCCTCTTTGCTTTCCCAGTGTATACAGCGACAGAGGCAACTTTCTTTTGCCACGTCAAATTCCTTTCACCCTTAGAAAACCCTCAAATCCCTATTAATTCAAGGAAGTGAAGTTTATTGAACGGATCAAAGTGGCCCGTAGTAGCAACAAAAACAGTTCTCGGAAAACACACCGATTTTGAAGTACGTTGTAATCCAATGGCTCGATAAGACCTTCCAAAATCAGCGTCAACATCCACTCACGTTCTTGCTTATGGTAATCTGTCGATGAGCTGAGTAGCATTTTATAAATTTCTGGGACCTGAAAAGAAACAAAGATAACGAATGCGTACCCACGGTAATATGTAAAAAAAAACTATTACGTTGTTCAGGTCAATGACAGGTTTCAAAATGAGGAAAGAGAGGACAGCTGTATACACTGGCGACTCCGGGTGAATAATGAGTTTTGAAACTCGAGCAAAAAAGTGCGACACCACTAAAACAAAGTTCTTTATCATATTGGAGGAATTTGTGAATAAAAAACTGCTGCACCACTGTCATCGATCTTTAAGTTCAGATTTCCGAATGAAGAGGTTGAAAGCAAAAGACGTCAGACAGTGTTAGGAAAACAGCCTTACAAAAAAAACTGACTGTGAGGTAATCTCGGCGCTTCCGTTTCAATACTTTGTTTGAAAACTCGTAGCAAGTAGACATAAAGATTTTTATAGCGATCAGCAGCTGTATCAATGTCGAGTTCCTAAAATAAAGTTTATCCCTACAAAAATTGAACCAAATCGAACGAAATCCTCACATGCAGCAAGGACAAGAACTTCTGCAAGACACAGTAAGCCAGCTTGCGAATGGTGACGTCCTTCGATGAAGTGCATGAAAACGCCAGAGCCAATCCGTTTCGCTCCACGAATGGGCGGTATTTCAACTAGAAAATAAAAAGATTCTCTCGTGAACAGTGTGATGCCTATAATCAGAGGATTTTTTGTCCTTTCATCTTATGCTGATCTTATTTATCGATCAGTCAAACTTCGACTCGCCCTAATGACTCGGTTGAAGTCGACCTGACTACTACAACGTCGACAGTATACCAAGCAGCTGTCACTAGTTGGACTTCGTTAAGATTTCGAAACTCGTGTTATATGTGAGAGGTTCGACTTGCCACACTGTTTCTCCAAAACGCTTGGTCCACAAGCTGCAAAATCTTTTGGATTGTGACAGAACTTTTCCGTCCCTTCCAGCATCACCTGTGACCCGCAACCCCTGCCCTACTGTCCTGTACGTTCCCAGCTCCCTGATTTGTCAGCCTAACTAAGGGGATATACAAAAAAGCTATATTTGCTAGCCTCTTGAAAACTTTTTTCACAGCATCATTTCGTGGAAACTTGCTTCTCAGACTCCACAAAGGAACCTCACGACTGAACAATTTTTATACTCCTTTCCCCCCCCCCCCGCCCCTCGGACAAGGAATCCGGTGGGCGTCTGACTTCAAGATGATGCGATTACATGAGAGAATGCCCTCCTCATAGATCTATTGAATTTTCATATAGAAATGGACCATACCTCTGACCCTGGGTGCATCATGCTCAAGAATAACCGAAGAAGGAATCGAACATCGTAGAGGACTTTGCTGTCATGAATCTCGCCATCCACGTCAGTCATTACTGGCCTCGAATGATTCAGGACAGTCTTCCACATACGCAAACCATCTAGAAGTTCCAGTACCTAACAACAGGCTGAAATTATTAGGCTGCTGAGCAAATCTAAGGTGATTCATTCACCTGTTCCGGAGTAGTACGATTAAGAGTTCCACCAAACTGGCCCCGTTTTTTATAGATTTCAACTGATTCCTCTCCCCAGATGATGGGCGAGATAATGCTGAAAACAATGAGCGTGATGTGGAAGAATCAGAAGTAAACCAGATTGAATGGGGAAGGTCTTACTTCATATTAACCTTGTAAGTATTTTCAAGCAAATCCAAGGCTTCGTAAATTGTGCAATCCTCCTCGGAAGTCGTTGCGCTGTACGATGTCATTATTTGGGTTAGCAAGTTGGAAATCTACTCCTTTTCTAACCTTTTCTCGAGTAGTAGTCTGTAATGACGTACGTCAAAGAAGAAAAAGAAGACGGGTGAAAAATATCTCACGTCATCTTTCTGGCTCCGCAGATAGCTTAATAGCATCTTCCTCCAGTCCTTTCTTGAGCACGGATTTAGCACGGCTTCCTTGACCGTTACCCAGTTTCCTTAAAAGCCCTGATGATTCATGGAAAAGCAGTCATTAGGAGCAATACCCTATTGTTGCACGCCTTACCTCCTCTAATTCCTGCTGGGGCAACATCGCAGCGCAATGAATAACTCGGAATAGGGCTGGATTTGCAAAACCCGCCCCCGATGTGAATATTTCGCACATATTCACTATTTTGTACTTGATTGTTTATTGCGGCTCAATTGTAATTGTTCATTCATGAATATCCCACAATCCGTCACACGAGACTTTTCCCCAATTGAGCATTTGAGAAGCATGTTTAGGTTTCGTAATAACACACCCGCTCTTGATATCAAGAGTTACAACTGGTAAAGGATGTTTTAGCTTATAATTGAGGGAAATTCCTCTATCTAAGACCTCTTTGAGGATTAGCAACTTATGTTGCTACCAAAAAAGAGCAAAAAATAAAAACCAGAAATGAGAACACCTCCGATTAGACAGGACTTGTAATGAAAACACTAGTAATCGGATTATCGTGCAATCACCTGAAAAAGCGTTTTCAGCATAAGTGAATGTGTTCTCGGGTTAGCAGTGATGAAATCTTTAGTGACCCAACTGTCTACATATATAAGTCGAAACGACATGGGGATGAATCATACCGAAATTAACCCGTATTTTATCGAGTTCTTTACCGTCACACGTGCGAAGTTTTCTAAATAGTGAATTGATTGTGGATATTTTTGAGAGAAGTTCGCCGAATTTCTTTTGTGGAAGGTTATGTGTTCTGTGTCAGAAATCAATGGATTCTTTTTCAATGCGCTAAACTGCTTCAAAGCAGGGTGTAAAGAAGAAGATCCAATGTCCCAACCAACTGCTGAATTTGAACTGCTAAGCCTGGATAAGAACAGACGCTAGCTAGCTGCAGTTTTCGATTAGAACGCAACAATCGAACCAGCCACCTGTGAACCTCGCTTTCTAACGTTGGGTAATATTTCACATTACATGGAGTACGAACAAAGATCATGAATAATTTCGCAAAGTTCGCAGTTCATAATATTGTACAACCGTAGCCGATCCCTCTGCCACGACAAAGATGAACTCACTATACCTTCGATGCCATTCTCGTCTTCCCCATTCAACATCGAGTCTTCTACACCTTCAACTTTCCTCCGCTTCATTTTTTGACTCGGTCACCTTAAGACGAGAATGGAACGAAGCTTTGCGTATTTTGTTGAGTAATGTCAGACAATTCCTGGGCATACACCAATGAGAAATCACATCATTCGGAAGAATATTTAATATTTTTATGCAAATATGAAAGCTAACGGTTAAACCGTAACTACAACATCATTCTCGAAGAAAAGAACACATCAAAACAGGAACCACATCAAGCACAGCCGTTCAGTCAACGGTAAGCACATGAACCAAAAATATATGTATATCTATTACCATTAATATTATAGGATAGTTTCTTAAAACTACAGGTAAATGGTCCTTTTTCAGCATCGATGCAAAAGTCCCGAAATACTATACAAGCTACATGCTAAGCTATTACATAAAAGAAGTAATATTCACAGGAAGGCAATGTAAAGCAAAAACAATCGTATACAGGGCACAATTAGAACTCTACTTGAGACCAGAAATCCTCCGAAGAGGTTGAAGTGGTTTGCATGGAATCTTGACTGACTTCGTTATCGTCCTCCTGCAACATCAAAAGCACGTCAATACAGAAAAAAAGGTTGAACTTGTTAGACAAAAACACCAACCACAATTCCCTTAAAGGCGTTTTCCAAAGCCTCTGAGGTTGACGGTCGCATTTTGGTGGTCATGGACTCTTGAAGTGCTGGAGAGGGCACAAAGGAGTACGGAGATTTTGATAAGCAACTCAGAGTCTCACTGAATGGAAGACTTTAAAAAGGGACAAATTACAGGAAAATAAATTGAAAAGTTGTTTTTCATTTATTTCCCTTGAAGATCCACTAAGGCAAAGAAGTAATCTAAAGAAAAACTAACTTCGAACTCATGGACGACCGACAAGATTGACTGCTTAATCGCAGGAGACTATTCAATCGGAGACTACTAACACCAGAACTCGATGAGCTGAAAGAACATTAATCTTACTTTAAAACCCACTATTTTTTCTCGTAATTTTCAGAACAATTGAGATGAGCTGCGCTTGAGGCAAGTAACAGTTCACTAATCAATGTATTAAAACTACCTGCACGCTGCTGGGAATCGCGAATTACTGGATGAGGCCAACATGGCGATGTGATGCTCGAAAGATTCTAGGTCATCGTCGCTGTCATCTTCGTCATCACTCTCGTCATCTGGCCCTATATGAACACCGTATCAAAATTAAGAAACGTCACACAAACAAAAAGAGTTTAACACAAAAAAGATTAGCATGACTCG